GCGATAATGAGAAGCAGAGTATGAGACTGGAGGAATGTTACTAGTGCAGTACCACAGGGTACTTACATTACTCGACTCGCACCAGTTTACACAACAACATTACTTGACCCAGTAATGTTCATCGTCTACTTGAACGAGCTACAAGAAGGAATACATAACTATCTGAACATGTTTGCTGATGATGTTAAGTTACTGGGGAAGATAAGAAACTTAGATGATTGTTATGCCCTTCAAGATGACCCGGACAAATAACTGCTTGGAGCATCACTTAGATGGAATTTAATGTGAATTAATGCCACGTTAGGAATGTGGAATAAGATAAAATAGGCCACACACAACTTGCAAATTATGTGGAAAAGGCTTTAAAGAACTCTGATAGAGAAATAGTCTAGGCGTGGTTGAGGATAGTCTCACCTGAAGACCACACAATGAACATTGAAATTGAAATTGAAGTATTTTGAGGTAAAATACACACAGAGGGATGAGGTAACTTAAGCTATTCTCACCCCGTTCAGTACAACGTGTTCATATATGTATACAGACACACGTCACAAACAATAAACATATTACCGAACATTCTGAGAGATAAAGATATACATTTCTTCCTTTACACAAGTAGTATGGTATCAGACGTACACACAAAAAGAACATTATGCCAGGAGGCCATGCTACGCTCGCAACTTCAGAATTGCTTTTACATACATGGATGGCAAAAGTTAAGGAAATTGTTCACGACTTTTCTGAGACCAAAATTGGAATATGCAGCCGCTGTTGGGCGCCCATATCTCAAGAAGCACATCAACAAACTGGAAAAGGTGCATAGATATGCAGTAAAGTAGCTTCCGGAACTAATAGACAAGAACTACGAGGAGAGGCTTCAGATGTTAAATATACCAAAGCTAGAAGCTGGAAGAAAACGAGGCGATATGATCACTACATACTAACGAAAATCGATAAAATTTATAAATAATTCTTGAGACCTGGAACTTGAAGAACAAAAGGTCATGATTGGAGGAAAAACAGCCAGAAGTTTCAAAGCGTCATACAACAAAGAAAAGTGATCACTCTAGTTCATTAATACCTTGCCTTGAGGTTACCTTGAGATGATTCGGGGCTTAGCGCCTCTGCGGCCCGGTCGTCGACCAGGCCTCCTCGTTGCTGGACTGGTCAACCAGGCTGTTGGACGCGGCTGCTGGGAAAACGGGACACCACAAGCAGAGCTCTCATCCTGTAAATGCATTTATGTGCATTTGAACTCGTGTTCAAGAGAGAACTCGATAAACGCCTCTAAAGGATATCTGATAACCCAGGCTGTGATTCCTACGTCAGGCTGCGAGCAGCCACGTCCAATAGCCTGGTTGACGAGCCCATCAACCAGGACTGGTCAGAGACCGGGCCGTGGGGACCTTGATCCCCGGAATCAACGCAAGGTAGCCAAGGTAACTACACATATGCAATAAAAGTGACGACGTTTCAGACCGAAATATATGCAGAATGGACTGAAACGTCTTCACACGCATCACACATGTGTGGATCGTGCCAACTGTTTTACCTTTTGCTACCTTGTGTTGGTTCCAGGAATCATTGTCCCCGCGGCCCGGTCTCTGACCAGGCGATGGTGGCGCCCCTGGTCAACCAGGCTGTTGACACTGCTGCTTGCAATCAGAAATACGAATCACAACCTTGTTGATCAGGTATCCTTTTGGAGGCGTTGATCAAGTCACTACTCTAGAACATTAGTGATCACTACGGATCATTAATATTGATGCCCCAGCGTGGAGGCACACTGGAAGGTCAGCATATCAAATACTATCATAACTGCTTCTAGCGTGTTTGTGGTCACTCTAAACTGTTCATTGTGTGACGGGCTGTTTTCCTTCATGGTTTATTTTATAACGGTTTATGGTATAATAGCTTTTTGTATAATGGTTTATTGTATAACACTTTATTTCATGATGGTTCGTTTCTTCTTGTATATTTTAATGGATTATTTTGTAATGGTTTATTTTAAAATGATTTATTTTATAATGGTTTATCGTATAATGGTTTAGTTAATGAGGGTTTATGATAATAGTTGATTGTTAAACAGTTTAACAATTTATCATATAGCGGCTCATTTGATTAGTTTTTTTGTATAAAGGTCTTATAAAAGTTTATTTTATAATGATATATATATATATATATATATATATATATATATATATATATATATATATATATATATATATATATATATATATATATACACAACTATATTCTACCCACCTCAAGACTCCGCTCCAATATAGAAGCATCAAGAAATATGGACCAATAGGCTTTCTACAAACACTTCTATTCAATACCCATTGTTTCTGTTCTGTCTTGTGTTGATACTTTTAATACCCTATTAATATCCTCTAGTGTTCTGTCTTGTGTTAGTGCCACATCATCCTTCCCACCTCACTCAAATGTAATGCCACATCACCCTTCCCACCTCACTCAAATATATATATATATATATATATATATATATTAGTATATTTTGGTAGCAGTCTTTCCTGTAGACATATTTTATTAAATATGACCGAAAAAGTAAGATTAATAATTCTAACACGAATTTTCTCAATCTTTCGTACATTATGCTTCACTGTTGGAGGTAAATCAAAAATCACTTCTCCAAAATTCATTTTTATTTCTAGTCTGACGCGACACGGGCGCGTTTCGTAAAACTTATTACATTTTCAAAGACTTCACAAATACACAACTGATTAGAACTTGCGTTTCCCTGATTTTATATCTACATTTGAGTGAGGTGGGAAGGGTGATGTGGCATTACATTTGAGTAAGGTGGGAAGGATGATGTGGCATTAGAGGATATTAATAGGGTATTAAAAGTATCAACACAAGACAGAACACGAAACAATGGAAAATTGAATAGAAGTGTTTGTAGAAAGCCTATTGGTCCATATTTCTTGATGCTTCTATATTGGAGCGGAGTCTTGAGGTGGGTAGAATATAGTTGTGCAATAATTGGCTGTTGATTGCTGGTGTTGACTTCTTGATGTGTAGTGCCTCGCAAACGTCGAGCCGCCTGCTATCGCTGTATCTATCGATGATTTCTGTGTTGTTTACTAGGATTTCCCTGGCGATGGTTTGGTTATGGGAAGAGATTATATGTTCCTTAATGGAGCCCTGTTGTTTATGCATCGTTAAACGCCTAGAAAGAGATGTTGTTGTCTTGCCTATATACTGGGTTTTTTGGAGCTTACAGTCCCCAAGTGGGCATTTGAAGGCATAGACGACGTTAGTCTCTTTTAAAGCGTTCTGTTTCGTGTCTGGAGAGTTTCTCATGAGTAGGCTGGCCGTTTTTCTGGTTGACGATTTACTATAAAACCAGAAAAACGGCCAGCCTACTCATGAGAAACTCTCCAGACACGAAACAGAACGCTTTAAAAGAGACTAACGTCGTCTATGCCTTCAAATGCCCACTTGGGGACTGTAAGCTCCAAAAAACCCAGTATATAGGCAAGACAACAACATCTCTTTCTAGGCGTTTAACGATGCATAAACAACAGGGCTCCATTAAGGAACATATAATCTCTTCCCATAACCAAACCATCGCCAGGGAAATCCTAGTAAACAACACAGAAATCATCGATAGATACAGCGATAGCAGGCGGCTCGACGTTTGCGAGGCACTACACATCAAGAAGTCAACACCAGCAATCAACAGCCAATTATTGCACAACTATATTCTACCCACCTCAAGACTCCGCTCCAATATAGAAGCATCAAGAAATATGGACCAATAGGCTTTCTACAAACACTTCTATTCAATTTCCATTGTTTCGTGTTCTGTCTTGTGTTGATACTTTTAATACCCTATTAATATCCTCTAATGCCACATCATCCTTCCCACCTTACTCAAATGTAATGCCACATCACCCTTCCCACCTCACTCAAATGTAGATATAAAATCAGGGAAACGCAAGTTCTAATCAGTTGTGTATTTGTGAAGTCTTTGAAAATGTAATAAGTTTTACGAAACGCGCCCGTGTCGCGTCAGACTAGAAATAAAAATGAATTTTGGAGAAGTGATTTTTGATTTACCTCCAACAGTGAAGCATAATGTACGAAAGATTGAGAAAATTCGTGTTAGAATTATTAATCTTACTTTTTCGGTCATATTTAATAAAATATATATATATATATATATATATATATATATATATATATATATATATATATATATATATATATATATTACAGTTGTTTAGTATATAACGAGTCAGTTTATAGTGGTTTACTGTATAACGATTGATTGATAAAGATTAAGCCACCCAAAAGGTGGCACAGGCATGAATAGCCCATACCCGTACTGTATAACGGATTAGTTGTATATGATGTAATTTTCTTTTTTTTCCCACTTTATAACATCTTATATATTTTTTACTAATAGTAAACAATGTTATTTTTTATATAATTTTAGCAGACCTTTATTGAATGGGTTTGTTTAATAACTTATAAATGGTCGAAATGCGTAAATATAATTATTTTTTGCCAAATGAACAAACAGAAAGTATATCCGTCTGTCTGTCTGTCTGTCTGTCTGTCTGTCAGCTAGTTATTCTGTTTATATAAAATGTTTGTATTTATTTAAAATTTGTGCCAGCAGGAACGAGGCTTTCTAACCGTCAATTTTCTAATGTCGCGACCCATTTTCCTCTAATTATATCATACCTGTCAGTTAGTCTGTCAGGGAGTCTGTCTGTCTTTTTCTGAGAGAGAGAGAGAGAGAGAGAGAGAGAGAGAGAGAGAGAGAGAGAGAGAGAGAGAGACAGTGAGAGAGAGAGAGAGAGAGAGAGAGAGAGAGAGAGAGAGAGAGAGAGAGAGAGAGAGAGAGACAGAGAGAGAGAGAGAGAGAGAGAGAGAGAGAGAGAGAGAGAGAGAGAGAGACAGACAGAGAGATAGAGACAGACCATGATGGGAGCCCATGTAGTTACTGAGTGTTGTTATTACAGGAGCTACTGAGTGATGATGGGTCAGCGTCGGCCGCGGTGCCGCTCTCCTCCCTCGACCCCCTCGACACCATCTTCGTCAAGCACGTGAAGCTGGGCTCTCCCGCCCACCTGGCTGGCCTCAGGACAGGTGAGTCACCTCTCTCTAACACCACACCTCGTGTGGCCCAGCTAGCTCGCTCTCTCTCTCTCTTTCTCTCTCTCTCTCTCTCTCTCTCTCTCTCTCTCTCTCTCTCTCTCTCTCTCTCTCTCTCTCTCTCTCTCTCTCTCTCTCTCACTCTGTGTAAATCGAGCACAGTAGTGTGTATGTACTCACCTAGGTGTGGTTGTGGGGATTGTGCTTCGGCTATTTGGTCCCACCTCTCACCTGTCAATCAACAGGTGTATATATTCCTGAGCCTACTGGGCTCTATCATATCAACATTTGAAACTGTGTATGGAGTCTGTCTCCACTACATCACTGCCTAATGCATTCCATTTGTTAACTACCCTGACACTTTAGCAAAAATTTTTAATGTCTCTGGTTCATTTGGGTACTCAGTTGCCACCTGTGTCCCCTTGTTCGTGTTCCAGTCATATTATCCACCCTGTTAATTCCTCTGAAAAGTTTGTAGGTGGTGATCATGTCTCCCTTTACTCTTCTGTTTTCCATGGACAGGTTTAGTTCCCGCAGCCTTTCCTCATAACTCATACTTCTCACTTCTGGGACTAGTCTGGTGGCATAAATCTGAATCTTCTCTAACTTTGTCATGTAATTACCTAAGTGTAGTTACAGGATGAGAGCTACGCTCGTGGTGTCCCGTCTTCCCAGCACTCTTTGTCATATAACGCTTTGAAACTACTGACGGTCTTGGCCTCCACCACCTTCTCACCTAACTTGTTCCAACCATCTACCACTCTGTTTGCGAAAGTGAACATTCTTATATTTCTTCGACATCTGTGTTTAGTTAGTTTTACATCTATGACCTCTTGTTCTTGAAGTTCCAGGTCTCAGGAAATCCTCCCTATCAATTTTATCAGTTGATAGGAAACTGAGTAAATTTGTTACACAGGATCTTCCAGATCGAAAACCATACTGACGGTCTGATATTATATCATTTGTCTCCAGGTGTTCTACATATTTAATCTTAATTATTTTTCCAATATTTTGACTATTACACTTGTCAACGATACAGGTCTATAATTGAGAGGGGTTTGTAGATTGGAACTATGTTAGCCTTTTTCCACACATCTGCTACGACTCCTGTACACAGGGATGTCTGAAAAATCAGTTGAAGTGGAATGCTGAGCTCAGGTGCACATTCTCTCAGAACCCATGGTGAAACTCCATCTAACTGCTTTGTTCTTACTTAGCTCCTTGAGCATTTTTTCCACTTCGTCTCTAGACACCTCTATGTGCTCTATGTTATACTCTGGAATTATTATTGTGTCTGGTTCCCAGAAGATTTCATTTTGTATAAACACACTTTAGAACTTTTCGTTTAATGTTTCACACATTTCCTTTTCATTTTCAGTGAATCTATTTCCCATTTTCAACCTCTGAATATTATCCTTTACCTGCAATTTGTTGTTTATGAATTTATAAAATAGACCTGGTTCTGTTTTACGTTTGTCTTTTGTTTACATGTACTCACTTAGTTGTACTCACCTAATTGTGCTTGCAGGGGTTGAACTCTGGCTCTTTGGTCCCGCCTCTCAACGGTCAGTCAACTAATGTACAGGTTCCTGAGCCTATTGGGCTCTATCATATCTACACTTGAAACTGTGTATGGAGTCAGCCTCCTCCACATCACTTCCTAGTGCATTCCATTTACTAACTACTCTGACACTGAAAAAGTTCTTTCTAATGTCTCTGTGACACATTTGGATACTCAGCTTCCACCTGTGTCCCCTTGTGCATGTACCACCTCTGTTAAATAATCCATCCTTATCCACCCTGTCAATTCCTCCGAGAATTTTGTAGGTGGTGATCATGTCTCCCCTAGCTCTTCTGTCTTCCAGCGACGTGAGGTGCAGTTCATGTAGTCTGTCCTCATAACTCATGCCTTTTAGTTCTGGGACTAGCCTAGTGGCATACCTCTGAACTTTTTCCAGCTTCGTCTTGTGCTTGACTAAATACGGGCTGCATGCTGGGGTTGCATACTCCAGGATTGGTCTTACATATGTGGTATACAAGGTTTTGTAGGATTCCTTACACAGGTTTCTGAAAGCAGTTCTGATGTTAGCCAGCCTCGCATAGGCCGCTGATGTTATTCTTTTGATATGGGCTTCAGGAGACAGGTTTGGCGTGATATCAACTCCTAGACCTTTCTCTCTGTCAGTTCCGTGAAGGACTTCATCTTCCATTCGGTATCCAGTGCCTCCTAGTTCCTCCTCCTAGGTTCATTACCTTACATTTACTTGGGTTGAACTTTAGTAGCCATTTGTCGGACCATTCCATCAGTTTGTCTAAGTCATCTTGTAGCCTCATACTGTCCTCCACTGTCTTGATCCTTCTCATAATTTTTGCATCATCAGCAAACATCGAGAGGAACGAGTCAATTCCTTCTGGGAGATCATTTACGTATATCAGAAACAGTATAGGACTAAGGACTGATCCCTGTGGGACTCCACTGGTGACTCCCCGCCACTCCGAGACCTCGCCCCGCCAGTGACTAGTTGTCTTCTGTTGCTTAGGTACTCCCCTATCCAATGGAGTGCCTTCCCTCTCACTCCTGCCTGCATCTCCAGTTTGTGCACTAGTCTCTTATGTGGTGCTGTGTCAAAAGCTTTCTGGCAGTCCAGAAATATGCAGTCTGCCCAGCCCTCTCTCTCTTGCCTGATTTGTGTTGCCTGGTCATAGAACTCAATTATACCTGTTAGGCATGATTTGCCATCTCTGAACCCATGCTGATGTTGTGTTACAAAGTTCTTCTGCTCCAGATGTTCCACTAGCTTTTTTTGCACAATCTTCTCCATCATCTTGCATGGAATGCAAGTTAGGGACACGCCTGTAGTTCAGTGCCTCCTGTCTATCCCCCTTTTTGTATATCGGGACTACATCAGCAGTCTTCCAAATTTTTGGCAATTCCCCTGTTACCAGTGATTTGTTATACAGTACACTATGGAGAGTGGCAGGCACAGTGCTTCTGCTCCTTCCTTTAGAATCCATGGTGAGATTCCATCCGGGCCTATAGCCTTTGTCACGTCCAAATCTAGCAGATGCTTCCTCACCTCCTTACTGGTAATCACAAACTCCTCTAGTGGTGTCTGATTTGATGTTCCCTCTCTTATCTCTAGGACTTCTTGTTCTGAGGTGAAGACTTCCTGGAATTTCTTATTGAGTTCCTCGCACGCTTCCTTGTTGTTTGTAGTGAATCTTTCTGCCCCTATCCTCATTTTCATTACCTGTTCCTTCGCAGTCCCCGTGGCACAGTGGTAAGACACTTGCTTGGCGTTTTGCGAGCGCTTTGGCTTGAGTTATTTTTAAGGACCTGCCCGAAATGCTATGCGTGCTAGTGGCTTTACAAGAATGTAAACTCTTGTATATGTAAACTGTTGTTTTCCTTCTGATGTGGCTATCTTCTTGAGGTTATCTTGAGATGATTTTGGGGCTTAGCATCCCCGCGGCCCAGTCCTCGACCAGGCCTCCCTTTTGTTATACACCCCCAGCAGTTGTCTAACTCCCTGGTACGTATTTACTGCTAGGTAACAGGGGCATCAGGGTGAAAGAAACATTTTTGCCCATTTGTCTCCACCTCCACCGGGGATCGAACCCGGAACCTCAGGACTATGAATCCGAAGCGCTGTCCATCCAGCTGTCAGGCACCCTTAAGCTATGCACCCTTACCCTTAAATAGCCCTTTTATATAACCCTTTAACCCTTTTTAAATAATCCTCTACCCACCCTTACCCTTAAGCTATATTTAAGGTAATTTCCACCCTTCAGTTATGTGGCTGTGCAGCAGTTTGGGTTGAGTCTTTGCCTTACTCGCTATGTCATTTTCATATTGCCTCTCTACCTCTCTTCTCACTCTGACGTATTCATTCCTGGCGCTCTGGTATCTTTCTCTGCTCTCTAGTCTTCTGTTGTTTCTATAGTTTCTCCACGCCCTCTTGCTTAGTTGCTTTGCTAGCTTACAAAACTGATTGAACCATGGGTTTCTCATCTGCATTTAATTTTTTTTCTTTTAGACTGGGACGAACTTGTCTGCTGCCTCCTTACACTTCTGTATGATGTAGTCCATCATGTCTTGAACCGTCTTCCCTCTGAGCTCTGTTTCTCAAGCTATTTCAGTTAGGAATTTTCTCATCTCCTCATAGCTTCCCCTCCGGAATGTCGGCCTCTTGCTTTCTGGTCCCTTCCTTGAGTACATTAACCCTTCTTCGACCGGATACTCAAACAACAGTACACTGTGATCACTCGTACCCACAGGGGCTTCAAGACTGATTTCCCTTATGTCTAAATCGTTCAGAGTGAATACTAGGTCGAGTCTTGCTGGTTCATCATTGCATCTCATTCTCATGGGACCCTTGACAAGCTTACTTAAAAAGTTTCTAGTCATCACTGCCAACAGTTTCGCTCTCCATGTTTCCTCATCTCCATGTGGTTTCTTGTTTCCCAGTCTATCTTTCCATGATTAAAGGCCCCCATTATGAGCAGATGGGATCGATTTCTACAGGCAGCAGCGGCTGCTCTTTCAATGATAGTGTTAACTGCCATGTTGTTTCTGTCATACTCTTGCCGCCTGTGTCTTCTTTCATTTGGTGGTGGGTTATATATCACTGTCACTACTACTCTTGGTCCTCCCATCGTCATGGTGCCTGTTATGAAGTCTCTGAACCCTTTTGCAGCCCGGAATAATCATTGCCTCGAAATTGCCATTCCTTTCTCATCAGTAGAGCCACTCTGCCTCCTCCCCTTCCTCCCCTCTCTTTCCTTATTACAGTATAGTCCTGGGGAAACACCGCATTCATTATGATTCCTGAGAGTTTTGTTTCTGTGAGTCCAATTACATCTGGGTTTACTTCTTGTGTTCTTTCCCTAAGTTCATTCGCCTTGTTTGTAATCCCATCTATGTTTGAGTACATGACCTTGAAGCTAACTCTCTTCTGTCCATTCTCAGTTTCTGTTGATTCCACTGGAGTTGG